TCTTTCGGAGATCCTGGAACTCCCTAGCAAGCTGCTGCACCTCAATAACACGTGTGAACTCGGCTCTGAACCTGGTTGTGAAATCACTCCAGGTCATCACATCCAACACTGCATCATCACCAATAGCTCTCCCAACCTCCTTCCACCAGTCACCTGCCCTGTCCTTCAGAAGACAGGACGCAAGCCTAACCTTGTCCCCCTCGGGACATCTGCTGGTGCAGAACGCATTGGCTACATCAGCCAACCATCTGCTGCTAGCAATGGGGTGCCGAGCCCCATGATATTTGGGAGCTCCACATGCTCTGAACTCCCGGAAAGTCAGTGTGCGCGACCCCATCATGGCCGCTATCTCAGTACGAAAAGCGCTCAACTTTTCATCCAGAAGCTCTAAAATACCCTCCTTGACCGATCCATAGATCACCAGAGTCTGCTCTAGGATGCTGCGTGTAACCTCAGACGAAATAAACTCCCTCGTCTGCTCATCCATCTGCTCGGATCCAGAGCCCGAGCCTGATCCCTCACCTGAAGTGCCCGTCGGCCTAGGACGTAGAACCACCATACTGAAAATACTCCATAACAAACATCAGTATACTCATCAAATATCAAGGGATCTAACATGCTACAAGTTTCCTGGATTCATCTCAGCCTTTCCTGATTCGAGTACGGATCCTCTGCTTTCAGTAGTACGGGCCCACACTACCTTCCACATCTATCCGCATTTTCCTCAAGAACTGACTCGACTCCACCAAGTCCCTTCTACTACTACTACTGATCTCGTACTAAACTCTTCCTAGGCTTGCCCTAGGGTAATCACTAACCCACTCTCCGCCATCAGCTGCATAAGAAGTCCCTGCTATCTCCCCCTAACTAGCTCGCAAATACTATTACATATCACTAAGACTAGATAATTCTTCGAATGAGAGGTTCTACCCTACAACGGTTAGACTCAAACGATAGCTGCGAAATAAGGCTAAATCTAACCTTCTGAATTTATTTAGTCCTCGCAATATGTAACTTAACATATTTGTTTACTAGTTAGTAAAAGATAACTAGAACTCCTAAAAGCACAAAGCAAGCAACATTCGAGCATCGAGTAAACATAATCAAGCATATCTTTCTCAGGCTATCCCTGACTAATCTGTACTAGCATGCAGTTCATAAAGATGAGATACATATAACAGGCACATAAGGCATCCTTCCTAGATCCTTAGTCCTAAACTAGCATGCAATTCTCATAAAGCTGACACACATATAATAGGCACATAAGGCATCCTTCCTAGATCCTTACTCCTAATCTAGCATGTTGTTCTCATAAAGTTGATAATCATATCATAACATAAACTTGTATTGGTAATTTGGGAGTACTTACTTGAGCTCGGCTGATTGCATGCACCACACCCTTTTATCTTTTTCAAAGTTCTTTTCTCTTTTCAAAATTCTTTTCTTTTTCTTAATGTTCTTTTACAAAAATGATTTTCTTTTGAAAATTTTCATACCAATTCCTTAGTTTGAGTTCAGATACACCCGGGAGCGTGCCTGAATCCCTCAAACCAAGACTCTGATACCAACTTGAAACATCCTAAAAATATGGTCCAAAAATTTCGTTTTAAAATCATTATTTAAACCATAAAACATCCATCATCATAATAAAACAAGAACCATGTATCTCAAAACATCATGTCAAATACTGTATCAAATCATATAAGTAATCATCAGAGTCTAAAACAATCCCAGGCTGAAACTGTGGTGTATGCCATGCGATCATCCCGAGCCCTTTCCCTTGCTAATGGAAGTACCTGAAACCAAATCTGAAAACTGTAAGCACGAAACTTAGTGAGTTCCCCAAACTACCACATACCATACAGATGCAACTAGGAGATACTGGCCCCACCCACTCTCATGGAGATTCAGGCCCCGCCCACACTCCGCTAACTAGGAGATTCGGGCCCCGCCCACACTCCGCTGTCTAGAAGATTCGGGCCCCGCCCATACTCCGCTGTCTAGGAGATTCGGGCCCTGCCCACACTCCGCTATCTAACATGCATACAATTATCACACAGAAAACAAGTATAACTACCAAGCAATCACATATCTATACTCAATAATACTATGAGAATCGGGCCCCGCCCACTCTAGGCTACTATGAGATTCGGGCCCCGCCCACACTCAACTACTAACATATCACATATACGGGCCGACCTTGGTGCCGTAGACCTGTTCCTACTGAAGGAAACTCACCTCGCAAGACTGACTGCTGAAAATTCGAGCGAAGAATCCCTGTCTGCTGCTCCGGCGACTCTCCGGCTATCAATTCCATAATAACACTTAATCAGAATCTTCTAATCCTCTCTTAGGGTAAAATAACCATTTTACCCCTGGTCAAAGTCAAGGTCAAGGTCAACTCCCAGTCAACCCAACTCGTCGAGTTATCTCCCAACTAGGCGAGTCCCTGAATGCTTAAACCCGTGGTCAACTGAGTCAACTCGTCAAGTCCCTTAACAGACTCGTCGAGTTCTTGCTGTCATAAAAATCGGGACAACCCGCTTCAACTCGTCGAGTCCTTCTACAGACTCGTCAAGTTCTACTAACTGAAATCGGGACAACACGATACGACTCGTTGAGTTCCCTTATGGACTCGACGAGTCCTTCTGTCTGTTTGGCCATCTTAACAGATTAAGCCCCTATCTTTTAGATCCAAGGTTCTTAGCCCATTTGTCCACTTGAAAGGCCCTCCTAAGGGTAAAGTTTCCAACTTTACTCGTTTACAGCTCTTTTAAAAGGGTTTAGACAAAACCCTAATTCCTATAAAACATGAATCTTGTCCAAAAGGCCATATAATCTCAAATCCATGCATACAAACCCATATCTAAGGTTTTAGCATCTGTTGGACACATAAAGCTCCGAACTTTCCTTCCATGCATGGTCTTTTAGGGCTAAAAAGACCATAAACTTGCTTATATGCTTGCATGGGGCTTCCATGGTCATAAAGTTTGCACATTTATGCCATGAAACCCTTTCTAGATCCTAGATCTGAGATATAAGTCACTTGGGACGTCCCAACCCCAAGGACCAAGGTTCTTGACCCAAAACTTTCATAATATGGAGATAACTAGATCTAAGAGAAGAATTATCAAGTTGGAAGCTTGATTACCAGAAAATGCAGTAAATGAAGTGTAGCTCTTGGATCAACTTCTTCCCCTTTGAGCCTTCTATCTTCTTCTTCTCCCACAAGCTTCACAATGCATAAAAACACTCAAAAATGGCAAGAACTAGCTCAAGATCACTTATGGCGGATTAGGGTTTTGATAATAGGGTTTGGAGGTGATGGAGGCTGGGGTGGAGGCCAGATATGATGTTTAAATAGGGTGCAAACCCTGAAAATTAGGGTTTCCTCCTGATGGATCTACTCGTCGAGTCTAGGCTCGGACTTGTCGAGTAGACCATTTAAATCCCGCGACCAAGCTGGCACCTACTCGACGAGTTAGGGCTACCAACTCGTCGAGTAGCTCTTACAAAAATGAATATTTTAATAAATTAAATGGATACTAGGAACGGGGTGTTACGAACGCCTTCTTTCTTGCTTCCTCCATCGTCTTCCTTTTCTCTCCACCGACTTCTGAGCATAAACCAAATTTCATAATGTGGACAACATTAACATAGAAGAAACCGATGAAAATCTAAAAATAAGAGGTGAAAATTTGAAAGCCCTAAATACAAATATATACAAAGAACAAACCTTCAAAAGTAGAGGAATGGAGGAAATGCAGAGTTAAAGGAAAATGATTGAAGACGAAATGGATAAAAAGAACATAGTCCCTAACAATCGAAAGAACATAAGAGAAGAACATGTATGGGAAGAGAAGCCATTATCGATCCGCTTTTAGCCTGCGCAAATTCATAACTGGTGAGCTGAATCCAAATAGAATGAGCCGGCTTATGAACGTTACTATTCATAAGTCGGTTGTGTTATATATATATATATATATATATATATATATATATATATATATATATATATATATACATACTATGATTAAGATAAATGATATATCTTATACCATATTGATTTAGATACTTGTATTATAATAATTAATGATATATGCAAAAAAACACAACTAATTATATATGTATGTTCAAAAAAACTCTTATATTATTTTTATGTTCAAAATGACAATTATATTAATAGTTATCATTCGAGAAGACCAAAATACGGGTTTTTAAGAGAAATTGACGACTACAAATATAATGTCACTTACATTTTTTTTGTTTTTTAATACGAAATCGATGTTAATTATTATAAAAATGATTAGTTAAGGAGGGAAAAATCAATCGTATAATTCTATATGGAGAACACAATCGAACAAAAGTAATTGAAATAAATGTAGGTTTTGACATGTTTTCAAATACAATCAAGAAAATATAAAGGATGTGTATATTTTATCATATTTTAGTCGGTCATTTCTTTTAAAAATTTACAATTTGGTTTTATTTAAAACGTAAATAATAAAATAAGGGTTTTTCTAAACATAAAAATAATATAAATATTTTTTTATATATACATGTATAATTGGTTGTGTATTTCTCTATATATCTCTAATAGTTATAAAGATAAATATAATATAAATAAATATATATAAATATATATTATCGAAATATATAAATCTTTTCAAATAAATAATTTAAATTAATTTACAATAATAATAATAGTTAACAAAGTTATAAATTATATGATGATATCTTAAATGTTTGATTTTTAAATAATCATCATCAAAGTTAAAAAAATATTAAATTAGTAAACGATATGATTTTAATATATATTTATTTTATCACATAAAATGTAATATTAAATTAAAAAATATACTATTTAATTTTATTTACACATAAACCATAAATAAAAATCATGATTTTAATAGATATTTTCTTATCTATTTATTTACACGGACCGCTTGTTATTTATTTTCAAAATTATTTAACCAATATTATTCGCAAGGCGCCGACGTATGAAGATTAGGGAATACGAAACAGTTAAGCCAATATTCGTAACTCATCTTTTTTTCTTTTTTCATCATTATCAGGTTTAAGGGTTTTCAACCGGTAATCATCTTTGCTTCTTCCTCTCAAGGTTCTTGCAGTTTGTTGGTGAGCTCCGATTTTAATAGTTAATTTTAACCTCCTTACTTATGGTTTTACCATTACATGGTCAAAGTTCACCGCCCTTTATCAAATGGGGTTCCGCTCCCATTTAAATGGGTAAAACAGAAACGATTTTTATTTTTGTCCTTTAAACACTCCATAAGAAAAACTAACCATGATTGTTTATTATGGGTATTAGGGAGATGGGTGAGATGGAGAACAGTATTCTCTCCATATATGATGACGTCCTTCCTGCTCATACTTCAGGTTTTATTCATTCCTTAGACTTATGCTTAAACCCTTTTTGGTTTTGAGTAGCTATAATTTATAAAGATCATATATTCTTAACAAACTGAAGGTCTGATTATTAAAACAATGCCACCTTATTCTGCATTAACAATAATCTTTGATCAAGATTCCATCTTTTCTCGCATCAGCTAACCCACAATATATTATAGCCGGCTAGCCGCCACTTAGGGCATCATATCCGTAATGCATTGGATTTATTGAGTTTATCAGATTGTTACATATTCTAGTTTTCATACAATTTTATATATATATTTTTTTTCCCAGGATGCATCGAATTCTATAAGAATTTAGTTAATGAAACCTTTATTTTAAATTTTAAAAAAGGTTACATTTTCCTATTGAAATTGAACTCCATGTCCAACCCGTCATTCGTCCTCATTCAACTCTGTCATTAAATTATTCATTATGGGTGCTTTTAGATGTGGAATGTGTTGTTAAAGAAAATCACTTGGTGAAAATATGTGAAAAAATTTATAGAATATATTTTGATTTTCCCCCAAAAATATGTGACCGTTTTGGTTGCGAAAAGAATCGAGGTTGTAGTTTGTAACTCCTTTGAGTTTTCATGATTCCTAGTGTCTTTAAGTGCCTAACTTTAGAAAAATGTTGTTTTCTTTTTCTTAATTTTAATCAGATTTACAAAGGGTTGATGAGAAGATCACTGCTAACTGTGAGAAGTTTCTTCAAGACTACAAGCAGCGATTTTTGCAAACGGAAGCCTTATGTGAATCTCTGCAACAGCGAGAATTTGAAATAAAGAAAAAAGAACAGAAGCTTCTAAAGGACAAGAGAAAGTTAGAACTCAAGAAGAGAGCGGTATAGGGTGTTGTTTACCATAAAGCTTGTTTCTTGTGTTTATCTTTCTTATATTTCAATATAGTTAATGATTTAATTCACTTCTAGAAAGAATGTTGCATAATACAAACTTTTGTTTAGAGATGTATTTACTTGATCAACATTTTCTTGAATTCTTCTATGTTTATCATTTTAGCGAGAAGTGTCGTACTGCAAACAATTGGTCAACGAATGTTACTCTTCGAGAAAAGCAGCAGAGGGTCTAAAGGTAATAACAAAAAAAACATAATTAAGAGCATGTTTATACGGATGTCAGAAAATAATCAAATGTCATATATTGTTATCTGCAGAGGGAAATAGACATGCTTCATAAAAGAAGAGCTGAATTGGAGGACAAACTCGAGGCTGAGAGTTTTGAAGTTCTTCAAAGTGAGATCATGCAACTTGAAATGGCTATACAGGTTATAGAAGACGATGATGAGCCTATAGACCTTGAGGAAAAGTTGAAGAATTCACAGAGCAATTTGATACAAAAGGATGAACAACTTCAAGAGTTGAAAGAACAACTTCAAGAGTTGAAAGATCGGGTAAACACTGTTTGTTTGGCAATACAGAGAAAAAATGATGAGATGCAAGACGCACGTCAAGAACTCATCCATGTAAGTATTGTTTCACATTAATCTTTTTTATGAAGAATACGAAAATCTGAATCACTTTCTTCACAGGGATTGGAGATGTATCCTTATTGTTCGTACGTAGGAATCAAGACAATGGGCGTTGTAGATTCGATGCCTTTCTATTTTGGGTATCATTCAACCAAAAAAGCAAGGAAGGAAACGAAGAATAATGCAACCAACGTATTGGTTAAATGCAGGAAACTAGTTGAGGATCAAAACTGGCATCCATTCACAGTTGGATCGGATGAAAAGGTATGAATTTGCATTGATCTAATTTTTTTTATCATTTAAATCATGATAGATGTGTTGTAGAAAATGATTGAGAAACACATGCATGCACGTTAATTGAGTAGGAGATTATTGATGAAGAAAATGAGGAGATGGTTAGGTTGAAGGCGGAGTGCAGTGAGGAACAGTATCATGCTGTTGTGACAGCGTTGAAGGAGAGAAATGAGTATGAGATAAATGGGAAGCATCCTGTGCAAGAGCTATGGAACTACAAGGAAAAAAGGAAAGCGAGTTTGAAAGAAGGCATAGACTGCATCCTGGAAGCATGGAAGATTCATAAGCAACAGCATAAAATGTAGTAAATGTTGGATTGTTGGTTACCAATTTGAGCATTCAAATTTGCTTTATAGAGGTTTTTTCAAACAAAAAAACTTTTAAAATTCTAAAAAACTATTGGATGAGTTATTATTTAATTTTTAATATTTTAACAAAGCTTTTTCGAAGAGTTTGTAAATTTAACCCTTTTTTCCATAAGCATTTTCAATGATTGTTTGGATCCTATAGGTTTCACCGTTTCAGCAAATGGCAAACAATTAGCTTATACAAACAACAATAAAAATATTTTAATTCAAGTTAGAAAAGGCTCTCTTATTGCATAGATATATATAATAAGATTATTAAACATTCCAAAAATGAGTTATATATTTTAGGTTGGAATCCCATAATTTTCAATTTGAAATAATATGTTCTTCCTAAAAGTTTTAGGATAATAATAACAAATGTACTAAATATAACTCATAAGATCACCAAAGGGCTACCAGCCTAGCAGTATGAGAAGTTTACCAAAGGGCTATAGATTAGTGTCCCTCAACCAAATCTTGAGGGTTTAAGTCCTGATGTGGACAAAATATATAGATTTACGAAAAATATAGTTCATGTATGCATGTGTAGACCGTTCTAAAAAAACTATAATTGATAAGATCATTTATGGGTATGTACCCAAAACACTAATCTTCTCATTTTTAAGGCTTGTTGGTATACTTGTCACAAGAGTTTCCATAGCCATCCCGGCCGTGCACACCAGCCCAACTACCACAATCATGGTGGTTCGTGGCGTTGACGACACAGAGCAACGACTTATTAAAACCTTTGGCATTTAGTCTCTTTGAATATTTTTTTACTATTATAAAATGGTTATATATTTAAAAATAACCAATCTATTCTTCTATAAATACCAACCATTTTACTACAATTCTTTCGTACTATTTCTTTCTACATTTACTATTCAAACCAAACAACCATCAAACTATCAAACTCTTACCATTGAACAATTTTAACAACCATCAAACTTCCAAATCAAACAACTTTGGGAGGAAAAGGAAGAAACCATGTTAGCTCGTGCTTGGATCTTGGTGTCCGACAACCCCATAAATAGAAGATAAACATTTTGACAATCTATTGGAAACCACTTTCCACAATGATATTGGATAAGGTGTTTATCGGGATCTTGATGAACTTTCGTCAAAATGGTGTCATATGAGGCAAAAAATAAACCAAGTTCAACCGCATTTACAAGGAACTCAAAACCGCACATCCAAATACGAGTAACGAATATGAGGTTTCTAATACTAATCTTATTGTTTTTTCAAGATTTAAGAAAAAATTAGAAAGTTTCTAAAAATATCCATAATTTTGCAAATAAAAAGTGAAAAATTGCTAAATGGTCTGAGAAATCACTAAGACTGAAATGTGTGGTCTCGACACCAGCTTGGCAGCCTTGACAACAAACACCACTCTAGGGCTTTTGGTGGCATCCTCCACGACATGTAGATGTCGAGCCTCTCTCCTCCCATCAGTGGCGGAGCTAGATGGGGCGTTGGGGTACAACTGGATCACCAAAATAAAATTTATATACTCTATTAAACATTCCATATCAATTTTCCATATGTAAGCACGTTTAACCATCTTGCACCCCCAGCTTGAAACATTAAACCGTGTTGTCTCTTTTTTTTCAAGAATGAAAGGGATTGTTGTCGAGAATCTAGAGATGAGAGTGAGATCGGTCATAATCAATTCGATAATTTTTTTTGTTAAAAACTAAAATTTCAAGAGGCTTCTTGTTTTCACCCAGATTTTGATGGTTCGAATGTTGTTTTAAATTTCGATTATGTTTGTACCTCCGTATTAAAATTTCTCTCTCTCTCTCTCTCTCTCTCTCTCTCCCCCACTCTGGCAAGTATACACCAAGTTGATTTATAATTAAAAATGAAGGTATGCTGTATATTAATTTGTCGGGTGTTAAGATATATAGATACTTCTAATTGACACTACTAGAAAAAGGTTAATAGAGTACAGTTGAAATTATGAATATAGTACGTACATAGAGGGCGTATTAGTAGAGGGGTGTATTAGATTACATGCATAATAGAGTACGACTATTTAACCGTACTATATGTATCCTATACCATCGCATACAATCATTACATACAATCACATCTAATACGCCATATATACACATCTAATACACCGATACACAACCGTACTTGATGTCTCAAGTATCATCTAATACGCCATATATACACATCTAATACACCTACGCAACCGTACTTGATGTCTCACATCCCCATTCCTTCCAGCCTATTCTGGCTTTGCATTCCAGCCTTATTCCAGCTTTATTAATCAGCCAATTCCACTCCATGGATGTTGCGGAACACATAGATCACCATTCCAACTATTCCAACTGAAACAAACTCTTCGATTTCTGCAAAGATTTTACCATGTGAATTGTAACCGAATGATCAATCTCTACAAAATACAAACCTACTATATGATTCCATTCCAACCATAAGAAGTGGGACATCACTGATCATGTTTTCATTTTAAGAAACAGAAAAAAAAAATTACAATAACCATTTAGTTCATTAAACATAAAAACATTAATATTCTTTCAGACTACAGTCTAAAAAATCTAAAAGACTATCATTTGTATACCTAGTTCATTAAACATAAAAACATTCTTAAAATTGTTACTGTCAAACCTCTGACCTATCTTTCCCCTTTGTGGCTAATTCATTGTATGCCTACAAAAACAAGAAAACTTAGGATTCAAAATCTCAAATAACTTTTAATGAAGAAAACTCAAATTATAGGACCTTCCTGCCATTAACAACTTCATCTATAGCAATGCAAGGGTGAAAACTTCTCCACAACATAAAAAATATGAGCAAATACAACATGAAATACAAGGGATGTTTGTGTACCTCCATAACAGCAACCTCCATAACTCGAAATCTGCAAACTTCCACAATAAAACACAAAATATAGCATCCTACTTTTATATATCTCATTTTCCAAAAAAAAAAACTTTCATCCAATTCCTCACTAGAAAATGGTTTTTTGTCCTTCCAAATGTTCTACAAACAAATTAAGATAAAAAATTTGTTATTTAACAAAGGTGAGCCTTTAGTACAATAAACAAAAATGCAAAAAAATATCTAACAATATACTTACTTTCGGAAATCCATGTTGTCGAAAAAGTACAAACTCATTCATCCAGTTCATAACGTAGTAACCACACTCCCAATCGGAATATTCTAAATGCATCTTTCTACTCAATAGTGCAAAGGTGGCGACTCAGGGGAGAAGAAACTCTCTCTTCATTTCTGATGATTGGTATGTAAATTGCCTCATATTCTATAAGAATGTGCACGTGTTCAACACCTGTTGGAATTAGTCAAATAGTTTTTCCTGGTCCTTTGTATTTCGTTAGTTAGCTCCGTACATGTGGGGCTCCTTACTTTTATCTTCCTGTATAAATACAGTGTATCTCTATGTTCTTGTATACAAGATAGCAATACAAATACACAACAGTTCCTACTTTACATGGTATCTAGAGCCTCTTAAGTTGTTTTTTTTCTTGTTGCTGTCTTCTCTATGGCCAATTCTAGTTCATCGCTTTTGGCTCATGCCACCGCCTCATCTCTAAACCTTCAAATTCCTAATATCACTGTCAAACTCGATCGAGATAACTACCTACTGTGGCGCTCTACAATCATCTCTGCTCTCGAGACTTTTGATCTCGAATCCTTCATCCTACATCCCACTCCTCCACCTGAAACTGTTCTTCCCACCATCACTGATGCTGACACAGAAATTGAACCTCGCCCTCAACCCAATCCCGACTACATCACCTGGAAGAAGCGCGATCGCTTTGTGCTGCTTTGGATTAAGTCCACTCTGTCTGAACGGGCTCTTGCCCTAGTTGTGATGTGCTCCTCGTCTCACCAGGCCTGGACCAAACTTGACAAGACCTTTCACTCTCAAAATCGGGCCCGTCGCATGGCAATGAAGGTCCAGCTCCAGTCGCTTACAAAGGGCTCACTATCAATGATCGAGTATATTGAACGCAAACGGTCAATTGCAGATTCCTTAGCCGAAAATCAAACCCCAATTCCAGAGGAAGACTTAATCAGCTACATACTCACTGGACTTGACTCGTCTTATGCTGCCTTTACTACCGCTTTTATGCTCAAGTTTGATCTATCTACTGTTGATGATCTTGCCGGGTTTCTTCTTCAAGAGGAGGCTCGATTGGAACAGGAACATCATCGTCATGTTCCCACCCTAACACCAACCACCACCCCTGTTCCACCTGTCTCCGGTTCTTTTGCTTATGCCACCCATCGTTCATCTCCACGTTCCTCCACCAATTTTGGCAGTCCTCACAACGGCTCCTCAAATCGCAGCAACGAAAATCGAAGACGTTGTCCCATGTGTCAATTGTGCAGTCGCCCTGGACATGAGGCTATCGATTGTTGGCAACGGAATAATCAAACTGATTATCCCTCTCGCCGCCTCAATCCATGAGATCCTACCAGATAAGCCAATGTCGCTCAAGCCGCTACTTCTTCTACGGTCATGGATCCCGCATGGTACTTGGATTCCGGAGCAACAGATCATGTCACTCCAGACATTCGCAAGCTTCACATTGCTGAGGAATACACCGGTGACGACAAGATAAGGGTCGGAAATGGTAATCATCTGTCTATTTCACATGTGGGTTTCAATTCATTGCATGGTCTTCGCTTGCCATCTATTTTAGTAGTTCCTAATCTCACCAAAAATTTACTTAGCATCTCAAAATTAACTGCTGATAATAACGTTTACATGGAACTCTGGCCCACTCACTGTTCTATTAAGACATTTCAGGGAAAAACTCTACTTCAGGGGACGTTAATCAAGGCTTATATCGGCTTCCAAACATCACAAATAAAAAGTCCTCCAAGATGGCTCTAACTGGTGTCCGCACATCTGTTCATGGCTGGCATCGACGACTTGCTCACCCTCACGAGCCTCTTCT